AGTCGCTGGATCACGGACTCCGCCAACAAACGCGTCAAGCTTCGCTGCATCAACTGGGCGGGCCACATGGAGGTCAACCTTCCAGAGGGCCTACACAAGCAGTCTATCGACTACCTGGCTGATTGGATAAAGCAAGAGGGATTCAACTGCGTCCGTCTCACATTCTCAACTGATCACGCCTTGACCCCGGGTGTCGGGATCCGGGATTCCTTCACGAATGGTGCCAAGGCAGCAGGCGTCGCGGAGGCAGACCTCCTGAAGCTCTACGACCAGGCGGTCCAAAAGAACCCCTTCCTTGCTGAATTGAACATCACGCAGCGTGATGTGTTTGCACGCGTCATTGACGTCCTCTGGGAGCGAGACATCATGACGATCCTCGACAACCACGTCAGCAAAGCAAGCTGGTGCTGTGACCTCGACGACGGAAACGGGTGGTGGAAGGACGCCAGGTTCTACTGGGCCACCAACAGTCGCTACTTTGATACGAACGAGTGGCTCGCGGGACTGCAGCAAGTGTCGATGTGGGCTTCCACGAGACCGGGCGTCATCGCCATATCGATTCGCAACGAGCTCCGCGCGACATGGACCCAGATCCCCTTTGCCGCCGACCAGTGGTACGGTTACGTGACCCGCGGGGCCAAGGCGGTTCATGAGGCGAATGCGGACGTGCTCGTCATCATCGGCGGCCTCAACTCGGCCACCGATTTCTCACCCCTGCATACAAAGACGCTAGACACGTCGGCTTGGAAGGGGAAGAACGTTTGGGAGGCGCATAGCTACAGCTTCACCGTCACGACGCCCAACTTTGGAGACTGCAATGTCGAGCGCACAGAGTACGGCGCCCTGTTTGGGTTTGTGCTGGAGCAGGGTGAAGGCTACACCGGCCCGTTGTTCTTGTCCGAGTTTGGCGTGGGCATGAGTGGCGGCCCAGAGGACGGGTTATCGGCCGACGACCACGCCTATTTGACCTGCCTTGTTGGGTATCTGGAGGGGAACGATGCGGACTGGGCACTGTGGGCGATTCAGGGGACATACTACGTGCGGAACAAAGTCGTCGATTTCAACGAGACGTGGGGGGCGATGGACAGTGACTGGAAGGGATGGAGAAACCCACTAGTCAAAGGCTTGTTGGGCAATATCTTTTCCGTGATACAGGGCCCGTAGAATAGTTTCTGGACGGATGACAGGAATCGAAGCGTCTCCTGACAGGTTTATGCATATAGCCACGAGGCTCCTAATAGTTCCCCTATTATCTTTAATACCTGTCTCGCCTCTTGTCATGTCGTCATCTGATTATCGGGGCAAGACTTCGTTCTCATAGAAGTCAACCAGTCTGTGCAAAAGCAGATCGGAATTCAAGATTTTCACAGAATTCGACACAATGAGATGAGGGCTGCTCAGGGTCGACGGGTGAGTCCGAGAAGCGGATGTTTATCAGTATTTGGGTATCAAACATCTGCCACCTCAGTTATGAGTATCTATAATTTACAGCCACTTGGGCGCGGGGTACTCTATGATGCCGCCTCCTTCACTTCCTCAGACTGGTCGGCTTTTCCCTCCACGTCGGCCTCCTTATCTTGCGCAGGCTCTTCGGCTTGCGGTCCATCAGACGGTGCGTCAGTCATGGGTGCATCGGCGTCAGCCTCGTCCGCCTCGTCCGCTACAGGCTTATCTCCATCACCAGCTTGGCCGTTGGCAACATGTTCCTCTTGCGTGCTGTAGATGTAACCCTCAAAACTCTTGAAGGTTGACTCAAGATCCTCATTCGTCAGAACCAAGTCGAAGCCCTCTTTGACATTTGACTCCGTGTCAAAATAGGGGGCAGACTTGGAGAGGATGTTTTGCACATCGTCTTTGTGCTTGCCAGATTTCTTCAACCGCTCTTCCAAAACCTCGTTACTAGGTGGTAGCAGGAGAACAAACCGAGCCGCGAAGCCAAGGTCCCAGACCTGTTGAACAGCCTGTGAAATGATTAGAAACGTTCGAAGACGAGGATGGCGGTGACGTTTTACCTCGCTTTCCATGTGCATTATCGGGACCTTTCCTCCCTCGACAACGGTCTCTACAGCCTTCCTGCTCGTACCATAGTCCACGTTACCGACAGTCGTGAACTCCAGCAACGCATCGCCGTCTCTCATCATGTTGAAGGCCTGCGCGTCCACAAAGTGAAAGTGTTGGCCTCCCACCTCGCCTTCTCGCGCCTTTCTGGTGGTGTGTTGAGGCACTCGTGTAAACGATTCAGGATGCTTCTCAGCCAATAGGCCAAAGATAGATGCCATACCAGCTCCTGGTGGCCCTGATATGATGATGGGCCGCTTGTCTGCTGGCATTTCGTCGCTATTGGGGGCCTCTTCCGCAGCTATATCGGCCTCATCTGCATCAACAGGCTCCTCGAATATAGCATCGATCTTGTCTGGGTCATCAATGTTGTCAAACAAAGTTAGCCTTGTCTTGCTTGCTATTCTGAGAGCTCGCCAACTCTTGCTAGCTTTGCTCTCGACGGCAGCGGCCTTTGTTTGGTTGTTCGTGGGCATCTCGATCTCGAAGTCATCGTCAGCTATCTTCCTTTTGAACCCCTCCAGCTCCGGCAAGCTGTATCTCTCCTCGGCCTTGAGTTTCTGCATCGCCGTCTCCTCATTGCCCTCCTCGAGGAAGCCAAGGGGCAAAGAACCCATTGGTATGGATCTCAGACGCTTCTTCGTAGCTGTGCGCTGTGAGCCTTTCTTCGCCTCGAGAAATGTCTCAGGAGACACTGGCGGCAGCTCTATCGATGGGCAGTTCTCTGATTTCCACCGAATCCAATTCTTATCTCTAGCGAGAACAGTCTCAACAACACGGCTGAAGTACGGGCCGTCAGTCCCATGCTTGAGGTACTTGTCGACGATGACCCTCTTCGTCTCCGTCGCCCATTTCGTCTGCCACGCGTTAGTAGCTTTCCTGAGCCTTGGATTCGGGTAACCAAGAGTTACTAACATCTTCGTCGCTAAGAACTTGGCCCACGTAGATGACCGACTTATTCTGCGCATTGCCGGCTAGTTTCTCCTTCACTTTGCTAGACAAAGATAGAAGGAAGTCCATGACGATCAGAGACTGAACGAGGATGTGTCTTCTAAACGATATATCGCTCATCTGCGCGAAGCAATGAGCACGATTTCCGCCCCATCGAAGCGCCGAAACATACCTCTAGCTCGAATAAATCCCGACTGGTCAGGTACTTTGGGTTGTATGAATTTGCCAGGTCACCCTCTTCTGCGTCTTCTCGTTTCCGCTTCAAGCTTCGCTGGGCCTCATCTACTGCCTTGGGCGGTCTTTGGCCCTGCTCGGCTTGAATCGCTCGGAAGGAGGTCATGGTCGCCTCCAAGCCGCGCTTGAAACTTGCCAGGTTATCTGGTTCAAAGAGCTTCTTTGGTTGGCTGAATGTCTCTTGGAGAGACCAGAAAAGAGGGTACAACACATCTGGGTCGAGTGGCTGATCGGCTTGGACTGGTTTTTTGGCATCAAACGAGACAGCCTTCGTCTGGGATTTCGCGTCCACATCGGCAACCTCCTTGGGCGGGTCCACGTCCATCTGATCGGCAGCGTCGTCGTCCTTGGCGCCGAGGTCATCGTAAACAGTCACGTTCTCAACATGGTATTCGCCTCGCAAGTTTACGGAGCTTTTGTCGCCAAGAGGAAAGCTCTGAAACATGAAGATAAACACCCGTCCGCAAAATGCCGTGTCCTCCGCGCGAGAAAGACGGCGCAGAAGCTCATTACAGCTGCGCAGAATGACCAACTGTTTTTGCTTGAAGTGCTTGACAGTGATCCTTTCTCGCCTCGATTCGAGGAAATCAAATATCTTCCGGCATCCGGCAATAGTTTGGCTGTCCAACAGCTCCTCCACCAACCAGAACAATAACGCGGGATCGCATTTCTCTTCGTCGGAAAGTATGATGAGCAAATCAAAAAGATTCCAGACCTTAACGAAATCCGGAGATTCGATCGGTGTTGTAGCCTGTCGGCAACGGCCGCTCGTTAGCTTTGACTCCAGGATTGCTTATGAAGTTGATGTACAATTAGGTTGCTGAACATGTCCCGCACAGCAGTCTCAATTATGGCGAATTGCTGCGCCTTGCTCTGGACGCCGGTAGTGGGTGCATCTTCCTCTCCGGCAGGCTGCGAGATCTCCAGCACATAGCCAAGCTGGTTGTCAAGATCGCCAAAGTCTACTTTGTGCAGTGCGGGTTCGATTGCGGGCGTGGACTTGACCTCCGTTGACCGGGCCAACAGACTTTCCAGCAGTTTTGCGAAGGAAACAACTCCAGGCACCTCGTGTCGGTGCGACGCAACGGCGGCCGGCATCTCGAGATTCGCGTGGCAGATAGTGCTCGGATCAGAAGCTGCGGATGAAATCGATGGCGCGTGCCATTCGCAAGGAAGTACCACCTGAATGTGATTGTCCTAGGTTCGTGTGGATATGGGTGGTGGAAATTGTTGGTGTATGTACGTTATTTGACAGCGGTGATGTTCGCGCAAGGCTGAGAAGTGAAAGAGCTGCACACGTTCAAGGATCGATTGTTCAGAGCACAGGTAATAGGTATCGCAGTGGAAACAAACACACGGTGCAGTGAAGCAAAGACGCTAATGGCCCGTCGCGGTCCCGTGCGCGTACACTGTATCGGGCATCCGCTAAAGTTGAGGCTCTGTAAGGTACCTTAGGCACACCTATCTAACGGAACTGTCCAACTGGCCTGGCCCAGCAGGTAGGTACTTTTAGGTGCCTCCAGCCAGTCAGCAGGGGGTAAGGACCGCGTCGCGTGGAGGATTTGGAAACGGGCATCCATGGAAGAACTGCCAGAAATGCAAGGCTGAAATTTTTGGAGCTATCAGGCTAAGCATCTCGACATTGTCAACACTTACGCCTGCGCGCATCCCGACCCGACCCCGTACCTCTATTTTCTCGATTCGGAATGCGACCGCGAATCTTGGCGCCCGATTTGTCTTGATCAACATCGCAAAAAATGCCCACAGCCAAGCGGCAGAAGAAGAGCGGCGATGCTCAAGCTGCACCGTCTACCCGATCCAAAACAAAGGCTCCAGGCGATCGCCCGACCGTCGCCGATATCGAGGGCGAGAGCTCTTTTGCTCAATTAGCAAAGAAGCACTGGCTCAAGGCTACTAAGAAGCCAGCCAAGGTCAAGGTCAAGAACGATGTTTTGAAGCAAGACATTTGGGATGTTTTGGAGCATGATGGCTTCCCGTATAAGTCGATCTTGACATTGGAAAGCTTGCAGACACTGGAAAGGTATGCCACCATACATGCAAGCTGATGATAGCCTTGACTAACGAGAGTGTGAAGTTGGCTATGGCCTGGATATACAGAAGAATCGTCCAATCACCACGTTTTGTTGGTGGTTCTCCTCGTCAATGCGAAGCGCCGCGAGCAGCTTGAGGCTTGGAGCATATTTGAAGATCGACCCGACGATTTCTCCAGTCTATTCCGCCGAGTTCTTTCGATGACACTCGACCAGACACTCTCACCTACGATTAGAACCCACCTTTTGTCTTTCTTGATTTCAGCGTTCCAGAGTCTCGACTGTGCTATCGTGAGAAAGGAGTGCGCGCCGTTGGTCTCTATCTCGATCTGGCACAACTTGTCAACGGAGGAGCTGCGGGAAGAAAAGCTCGACCAGAATCCCCATGTGCGGAAAGCATGGCGGGCCGCTGGAAAGAGATACGATGCTGCTGACGATGCCACGAAGGCAAAGCTGCGATTCGATCGGTCATGGTTGTACACTTTGATTCTGCATTTCTTGAGTTTGATCTATACAGAAAACGCAAAGCCAGGTATGATTTCGGCGTCGGGGAATAGAGGAGAGTTTCTCTGTGCTAATTAAGCCCAGATCAGGTTCTCTACTGCGAACGCCTCGTCGAGTTCTTGACCGACTTGCAGAGCCAGCTCCCAACTCGGCGCTACGTTAATTCTCTACTGATCGATCTGCATGTTTTGTCTGCCATGAGGCTGTCTCCCATGTTCAATGACGAAGACAGAAGCCTGCTGCGAGATCTCCATGTACTTCTCCGTCACTACACGTATTTCACGATTGATGACCAAACGGGCGCGCAGCTCAGCCGGACAGAATCTTACGACAAGCATTGCGCAAATCTGTCACGACTACAGAAGGTGGCGCTAAAGCATTTCAAAGACAAGCTTACGGTGCTTGCATTATCGAACTATGGTTCCATCGACAAAAGGGATGAGCTCTCGAGCCTGTTGGAACCCTTGATCGACGAAGAGATAGTGGAATTGTCACGGTTGCTCCGTCTTCGGACCACTTATCCTGACTCCTTCAAGATGAACATCGACAGGACATTCCTCATCGAGGTTATTCTGACCACGTTTGAGAGGCGGAAGACTTTCCAAGAAGTAGCACGTGGCATGAGCCTGGTCCCAACTGAACAGTCTCTCTTTGAGAACAACATCATGAGGACCGATGATTACAATGGTTCTCACCCACTTGCTCTACCGAAACTCAACCTTCAGTATCTGTCTGTTGGTGACTTTCTGTGGAGGTCGTTGGTCTTGTACCGCGCCGAGTCCTTTTACGGCATTAGAAAAGACGTGGAGTCAGCCATCCGACGTCTTCGCCCCGAAAGCCGCAGACCCGGGGAGACGACTTTCCAAGGCTTCTCCAAGATGGCATTGCCGACAACAAAACCATCGTAAGTTATGGCGTTATATGTTGGAGACCATTTACTAACTCACCCAGCATCCTCGAAGTCGCTCCGGCGCTCGTAGGTGATGATAAGCCATCTTTGGTTCGGGCAGAGATCTCGATTGATGTCCGTCGTTTGAATGACGGTATCAGGCGCGAGTGGGATTCTCTACGAACTGACGACGTGGTCTTCCTTGTTGCTGTTCAGGCACCCGTTGCTAACAGCATCACCAACGGAGACGCTTCACGTTCTGAGGCTGAAAAGCTTGGAATTATCTCCATCCGGTCGGCTGAAATCATCCAGATCACAGACGATAAGGGCAAGGTCGTGCGTCCTGGTTCTGCTTATCAAGATAACCGGCGGAGGCTGCAGTTGAAATTGGATTCCAGAACGTACGCTTTGGATGCTGAAAAATCATCAGCAAACCCTCCCGAGGCCTATGCGAAGGTCAATTTGATCATGCGCCGTAGCGGAAGGGAAAACAACTTCAAGCCAGTTTTGGAGTCTATCCGTAGCTTGACGCTTTCCGAAGTTCCAATTGCCTCGTGGATTCATGAAGTCTTCCTCGGGTACGGCGACCCAGCTGGAGCGACGTACAAGCAGTTGCCGAATCGAATTAAGACGATCGACTACCGCGATACTTTCTTGGACTGGCAGCATCTTACGGGGAGCTTGCCCGGAAAGATCGTTGAGCCAAGCGACGATGTCACCGGGAGCTTTGGCCCGCCTTACGTGCTGAAAACGGCCGAAAAACCGATCGTCGAGCCACCGTCAAAACCCTCCAAAAAACGCCGCCGTGGTGTTGAGCCGGCCTTGCTAGCAGATGTTGAGACTGTCAAGGTGTCGACCTACAAACCTCCGAACATGGGCCCTTATCCCGTCGACGCACCGAAGCTGAACACGGTGCGCTTTACTCCCTCGCAAGTAGAGGCAATCACTTCAGGAACGCAGCCCGGGCTTACGGTCATCGTGGGTCCGCCGGGTACGGGAAAGACAGACGTTGCCACACAAATCATCAATAACATCTACCACAACTTCCCGCAGCAGAAGACGTTACTCATCGCACACAGCAATCAAGCCCTGAATCAATTGTTTGCGAAGATTGTGGCCCTCGACATTGACGAGCGCCATCTTCTCCGCCTTGGGCATGGCGAAGAAGAGCTCTACACTGAGGGCAACTTCAGCAAACATGGAAGGGTAGAATCTTTCTTGGAGAACCGAGATCGATATCTGCAGGAGGTCAACCGTTTGGCCATCAGTCTCGGAGCCCCAGGCGCCCATGGCAATTCCGCTGAAACTGCTGGATACTTCAACTCTGTTTATGTCGAGCCAGCGTGGGCAAAGTTTACTGAAGTGACCAAGGACGGGGAACTAAGTGCTGCCAACATTGTCGCTGCCTTCCCCTTCCATCGCTTCTTCTCAGATGCGCCTCAACCACTCTTCCCAACAGACGCCGACCGGGACATAGTTCTCGAAATCGCCATTGGATGTTACCGTCACATTGAGAAGATCTTCTCCGAACTGGCTGACGCGATACCGTTCGAGATCCTGCGCCGTGAGAAAGACAAGGCAAACTACTTGCTCACTAACGAGGCTCGCGTGATTGCCATGACATCGACTCATGCAGCTATGAGGCGGGCAGAGATTGCGTCTCTTGGTTTCCACTACGACAATGTGGTCATGGAAGAAGCTGCGCAAATCACCGAAATTGAGAACTTCATCCCGCTGGCGATGCAGAAGCCCCAGAATGGACAAATGGCTCTGCAAAGAGTTGTCCTCTGCGGTGACCATTTCCAGAACTCTCCTGTCATCCAGAGCCTAGCTTTCCGCCACTACACAAACCTTGAGCAGTCTCTGTTTTCCCGACTCGTTCGTCTTGGGGTACCCACAATCACGTTGGATCAACAAGGAAGAGCTCGTCCATCTATTGCCAGCCTTTACTCGTGGCGGTACCCCAAACTGGGCAATCTGCCACATGTTGAGAGTGAAGGCGAGTACACCACGGCGAATGCGGGCTTCAAATACGACTACCAGTTCATCAATGTCCCTGACTACAAAGGTCGTGGAGAGACAGAGCCTACACCCCATTTTGTTCAGAATCTGGGAGAAGCAGAGTATGCGGTCGCTGTCTACCAGTACATGCGTCTACTAGGCTATCCTGCCTCAAAAGTCAGCATTCTCACGACATACGCTGGGCAGCGAGCCCTGGTAAAGGATGTCTTAGCCCACAGATGCGCTAACAAGGCGATCTTTGGCATGCCCAAGGTTGTGACAACCGTGGACAAATACCAGGGCGAGCAGAACGACTGTAAGTTGGAAACAAACCAGATGATGCCAGCTTGATACTAACTAGCCCACAGACGTCATTCTGTCGCTGACCCGTACATCGAAAGTTGGATATTTGCGAGACATTCGCCGCATGACAGTAGCACTTTCGCGTGCGCGTCTAGGCCTCTACATCCTTGGCCGTCGTGAGACCTTCGAGGCTTGTTATGAACTTAGACAGGCGTTCGAGCAGCTTCTGGCTCGCCCTGATAAACTCATGCTAGTTACCGGCGAATTATGGCCGGCGGACAGACAGTTTGCTGGTATCGCAAAGGACGCGGTACCTGGGGAGGTCTGTATGGAAGGAGTGGAGCATCTTGGGCAGTACGTGTATGAGATGACCAACACCAAGGTCAAGCAAATACAGGCGGAGGGTACGATGTCTGGTGGGGTCGAGATGGAGATACAAGAGACCCTTCTGGACGACGTTGAAGAGGTGGCAGAGGAAGACGATGACGTTGAGCCCCAGGATGCTGAGGAAGCCGAAGCGTGACAAGCATGCGGCGGGGCATCTCTGGGGACATCTGGAGATGGACAACCCCTGCCGATAAGATGCAAGCGTGTCGATCAGTAGAAGTCGAAGCGGGGCGGATCTGATTATCAACGTGCCGAGATGGCTTTTTTTCCAGTCGAAGTTTTGAGGTTATGCGATGACTATGAAACGAGGGAGGAAAAGCCCTGGACATGTATATGGACCAAGAAAGATTCAAAGTAATGTTGATGCAACAGGCCATCCGGGATTTCACCATCCCACCGGCTTCTCTTGCTATGTCTGGGACACCGTTTCTATCCGCTTCATGACGATGCTCTTGCCTACGGCCCGTATGTAGTATATGCTGATTGCAAGCTAAACAAAAGAAACAAAAAAGTGTTGCCGTTTTCCAGGATACTTCGTCGAATGTCTGACGCTGAGAGGACGAGGCAACTGATGAATGGATCTGTGATCTAAAAATGGGGATAAGGTAATGTGGCACGACCAGTCGCCGGAACAAGGGACGGACAGTCTCAGAACACAGTCTTGGGAAACTTCTGTTACCCCTAGTCCTTGTGTGTATCAAATCAACATACCATATTTTCTAGCGGCAGATGGGACATGCGAAGCCGTCCACGGGGTGGCTTGCGATATGTTGGCGGTGCGCGCGACGTCGCCCTTTACGGTCTTGACCACCACCTCAACAGCGGGGAAGGAACTCGCTGTAGCATGCATGGTGACGACACTCAGGTGTATTGTAGAAGTTTGCCTGACTTCCCGGGGACAAAACGAGGCCGGGCGAAGACGGGGTTTTCTTGGGGACTAGAGCGAACGCGCCACCGGCAGCAGTGACAGTGCAAGCTGACAACATCAGCCCAGGGTTTGCGAGTGGCAACGGGTCGTGGATGCTTGGTTAGATATTGGGATATGTCCAAGGCACCTTGTGTGGCTGCAGGAGACGACTAAGTTAAAACTGTAAGAGTCAGCTTGCACGAGTATGCGTGTCATGGAGACCACGGAACATGTCATTACTTGGCAGGTGGCAGGGGGAATAGAAAATTCCCGACGAATAGTGTGCGACCACTCAATGAATGAGAGAAAGAGAGCAACAATTCCGTACAGCCATCTAGGTGAAAGGCAACGATGGGAGGTTTTTTTTTTTTTTTTTTTTTTTTGTTTTTTTTATTATTAAAAGAGAGATGACTCGCCCCAAACCTGAAGCAACAAGCCCCTTGGGAGCAAACACTCCACGTCTAAAATAGTGCTCCCGCCCGTTAGCGCTGTACTTTCATTCTCCTGGGACGGGGGAAACCAACAGAATTGGCAGAGGCTTCCCAAGCGTCGTCATTAGCTAAATCTACCTGCTTCAACTTTCGAGTGCCTCCTGTCACCAAAGTGTGCTTATCCAGGTTCATCTTCGCTCGGCAACAGGCTGATGTCAACCACCGCTGTGGAAACCTCTTTTCTAAACTGATGTATGTCAACGCGTCCGACACGCGTGACTCGCCACCAATCGGCCATAATTTTAATGGAAACGCAGGAAAAGGACGCCGCGAGAACGACTGGCAAATCATCGACGAGTCGCACTTCAAGAGCATAGGGACGACAAGACCAATAGTACCTATGTACCTAGCGGGACGTAGCTAATGGGGCTGACTGGAGCGATTGTAATGTTGGACGCGACGACCACCACGCTATGTCGTGTTAGTACGTCATGCAATCAATTAACCGGTGGAATGAGAAATTGGTCCTCAACGACGGGATCACTTTGCGCGCCGTACTTTGGCTATTTCGACAACTCCCGTTCCGCGGCCCCTTTCATCCAAGCCCGTAAGTTCCTCAGTTTAAGCATTAGTCCCCTTGGTTTTGTATGGTGTCTAGTTCACGAGCAACCACGGGCAAACTTCCATAGACCCGTTAGCGTCCTACACAGATGGTCTGTGTCGTCTGGTCTGGTCTCGTCTGCGATCCTGGGGCAAGTGTACCAGGGTCTGGTGCCTGCCTGGGCAATGGACCAGGTACCTTGGCATATCGCAGATCCCTCGCAAGACGGGGCATTAAGACGGAGTATACATGTGAGCAGCGCGGGCGTGTGGGTGCCCTTTGCAGTCATGCAGGCCCGTCGGAAGTCCCATCTCATCTCCTTCGGCTTGTAGGCCGTGCTCTCATTTACCCATCTCGACGCGTCGACACGTGTGATGGGTGATTGATGGGAAAACGATGCCGACCTGGGGCGTAGTGATGGGGAATTCTTTTGGGCGTGTCAACGGGTGAGAACACCAGCAAGATCAGACCATAGCCTGTCGTATCAGGATCAGCGGCCGACAGTCATTCAAGTGAGCTTACGGACACTGTAAGCGAGGGTGTATGACTGCTATCACCTCCGGACCTACCCAGTCGATGGCTACGGTGGTAACAGCGAAAGCTGTGAACTCTACAGAATAGCCCGTCCGCTGTCCAGTTGGGATCGGATTGGGATTGGTACTCTGAAATATCCATGGCAGCGATGACGATTTTCCTGGAATAAGATAGTCGCTCAGAGCAGTCTGGTCTACGAAGACCTCTTAAAAGAAGATGAGGACAATGATGTATGGCAAAGTGCACGTGTCAGCCACTCCGTGAAGCCCGGCATCTGCAGGGGTGCGAGCTCGACTATCGTAGTGGTTTTTGGGGATGCCCTTGTCCAGCCCTGCTTGTCCATTGTCCAGGGTCCGTGTTTGAAACCGACCTCCAGAGCAATTTAAATTTTTCCTCTTGTTCTGGCCCTTCCCTTTTTTTTTTTTTTTTTTCTCTTCCCCTTCCTCCCCTTCACTCCTCTCTCTCCCGCTCTCCCCCACTGTTCCTTCCCCGGTGCCGCCGTGAGTGCGTGTAAGGGCTGTATGGGGACAGGTCAGGTAACAAAGCTTCAGGCTTCAGAGCTGCAGCACCTTGCAGACCGAGGTGATGTTGCTCCGTAGCCCGTACCTGCAACCGGAACGGACGTCTGGCATCTGGCACCTAAGTATCAGACTATCAGTGACGGCGTAGGTTTGGGATGGGAGACCATTCCAGACAGCAAACACCTCTCATCTTTCCTGATTGGCATTGCATGGCAAGAAGGTGAGGCACTCTTGCAGTGCAAACTCAACTCTACTACTGCGTACTCCGTACGGAACCCACCTACTTGATAGCGGATTTTATGACTGTCTCTGTCAACACCTGTTTCTAGTAGGTAAGATACTTAGGTAGCATTCTGTGGTCGAGGCTCTGTCCAAGACACAAGGGCAACAGGCAACAAACATCTGATGTTCGTATCTTCATACCAAACTGCCGGTCTCGGGCAGATCGGTACGTTATGGAAGGGTACTCCTCCAACTTCATATTGAGCTCCCGACAGTTTCCTCAAGGACTGAATGTTCTACCTACCTACCTACGTATCCGTACCTATGGTACTGTGGTGCACCGGAGCTGTGACCTGACCCACCGGCTGACCTGAAAATTCGCACTTCCACACAGTCTTGCCGACCTCCCGACACACAGCCCAGGTGACATCGCATTCAAGAAAGGGGAAGAAACAGGCAAATAAGGGGGAAAAACAAAAACAAAAAAAAAAACCGCCATTCACGAGGGGGAAGAAGGAAGGAACAGTAAAACCAATCTACCAGACGGTATCGAGAACTAAGCTATTCGAGACGACTTATCCTCGCCAACTTCGGCCATGGTTTACGATATTGAGCGCAGGACGGACACAAGCAATAAGAAAATAAAAATAAAAATAACAATAAAGCTAATTGCCATGAAAGAAGGGTCCTACCCGAGTTGTGCCAGAGTGGACGGCGATGACCAGGATACACACGCGGAAACCAAACCCGGTCTCCTTTTTCGCTTCAACGATGACTGACACCCGCTGCACCATCGGAACTTGGGCCTGAAGCACATGGTCGGGCTGGAACCGCACTACCTCAGGATCATATTGAGGATAACCTGAGAGGCTGAGGTGAGGCCAATATTGCTAATGGAGGTCGGTGGTTCGTGCTCTGTATCTCCATGTGTCCGTACCCCGAGCTAAGGTAGCCCAGGTGAACCAGACCTTGGGGAAAGGCATGCAAGTAATCTGGCCCGACATCCACGGATTCGGTGGTGTCGGTCGTCGGCCCTTGCATGCTGGTTTTGACTGGCGAGCACCCAGGCCAAATGTCCATAATGCTACGACGTGGGATCTTAGGGGATTTCAAGAATGGCAGCTCCTGCCACAGACGGCATATCTATCCTACCTTCAGTACTCAACGAGGAGAGCACCTGGGAGGTCATCATACATATCTGTGCGAGATACGACTACTGTCGGTAGGTGGCATTTTGGGGCTGGCGTGGGCTCGCACGCTGCCCGCCTGATGCGCAGTAAGGTTGGTAGGTAATGTACGGATAGGTAGGTAGGTACCATGAGTACCTAAGGTGGTTGAGTAGCTTGTGCTCCCGCTGCCCAGGCACCCCGTAGGACAGACAACTCTGGAAAAGGAGGCTGATCCAAGAATAACCTGTGATTTATCTGCTCAACAAACCACAAGCCGGTACAGATAGATGCAAAGACCAATGTGTTTGTCCATTCCGACAGGTTTCTGGGAACTCTGCATGAGGGTTTGTTTCCCTACCTTGCTTCAAGTGCACGCATAGATAAGTAGGCAACCACAGCGCAGCTGCCCGACCGTTACCGGCAGTGATGATTAATTCATCTGCGCTGTTACCAGGAAGGACCGCAGATTTGGGGGAGGAAGGGGAAAGAGAAGGGATAGACAGGAAAAGGGAAAAGGAAAAAGGAAGAAAAAAAAAAAAAAAAAAAAAAAAGGGGGAGGGAGGACCTGCGAACGGGAACTTTGGGTTTAAGCCGAGCCTCTGCCGCTGCACCAACGAAACAAATCACTCACTAACTTCACTGCCTCGAGTTTTGTTTCCTCTTGCCTCATACCGTAGTACCGCGCCCAAACCATCCCACTCCTGCACCACCTTGTATTCTGTCTTGGTCTCATGATGAACACACTGCCTACCTTACCACGATACCTAAGTGCCTGCCTGTCTGGGGTTCCAATCAATCACTCGCCTGGGCGGGCAGAAAGCATTCACCAATGAGGAATTCGCACTGTCATTTGTGCGCGAGAAATGCGGGTCTCCTACCGTGCTGATAAGCGAGAGATATGGCCAGTGACGCACTGTCGTTCCGCCAAACGGGGCTACTGGGGGTCCTGGGGTATGGTCTTTGTGTGTATGAGGTGTCCTGGGCTGGTGGTGTTGGTGTTGGTGTTGGCGGTTGGTCGTCCAGGTGGTCACCCCGTCCTGTCGCCCAGGGCATGTCGCTCTGCCCTCCATGGCTCTTTGGCTTTTTGGCTCGTCAGTGACTGGGCGTTGATATGGCCCAAGCCAGCCCGTCCACCATATTGCGTAAGGGAATGAATGAGTGAGTCCTTAGCAAATCGGACGCTTCTAGATCGAGGTGGATTGGACAACGGGCGACGGGATTGGGAGACGTCGACTGCCTGAGCAACTCTCGTGGACAACTGTGATTCACCTTGTCTAGTGTCGTCCACAGGGTGTCTATGGGCCCACTATTTTACACACAGGGTAAGGTAGTGAATCTGGGCTTCCCACAGGCGACGTGAGGTATCGAATCTGCTTTTAGGTGAGCCGTAGGCGCGGGCTTAATGGTGAGGTACCTCCGAAAGGTACCTTCCTGGGTCTTTCCCTCACACTCCTCCGATTTCCCAGGTCCACGCCATAATATCTGCCGCCCAAAATTTTTTTGGCCGATTCCTCTTTCAATTCTTCCCTCACCACAAACACCAAAATTGGTCCAGGTGGATAATTCCTCACCAGACCCTTTCTTCCATCAGCAGGTTTCTTCTGTATTTCCCTTCAGAAGACAACTCTCCCCTCTTCTTAATACAGCCGGTCGCTTGGAATACCTTTCTTTGGTTCCTTCCCGACCGCTGCGAAGGCCGAAAATCGTTGTATTTTCCCCTCTCCCACCCCCCATCGCCCAGCGATATTTCGTCTTCCGTCAAGGAATCTACGACAACAGTCCTTCGCAACCCAGTCAACGGACCGAATCGACCATAACCCGATCCGATCCTGCCTCTGAATCATCCTAGCGACGATTCATTCATAGATCGACCTATTGCACCATAGTCATTCACTTCTTGGATTTCTGCGCCCCAGGACCCCTCCGTCGAATCTGAGATTCGGTATCCGAGCGATCGTATCAGTTGCGCCAAGTTCGACCACATCGTCGTCTTTTCGCAACCTACACATCATCCCCCGACGCCGACGCTTCCTCGACCGAGAAACGCATCTCCATCAACGCACATTTCTTTCCGCACGCGCAACGACGAGATTCCACATATGACTTCGACTGCCAGCCCCCAGTCCAACCCGGCGCCCAACTCCTCTGCTGCGACTTCGGCTCCTTCATATGCGTCCGCTGCCGGTGCGAACAAGAAGCAAGCCTCCACGCCGCTGATTGCGACGGGATCCAACCCACCTGTGGTGGTCGGTGGCTCCTCTGCGCAAAATGCCAAGCCGTCTGCACCGTCACCTGTAAATGGACGTCCCCCCATCACTCCTGCTGTGCCTGCTGCCCCAGCAGTCGCCCACGGTTCCTCGAACATGAACGGAAACGCGGCTGACCACAGCCGCAAGAGCTCCGTCACTCTTGCCAACGGTCCCAACAGCTTCGCTCCCAACGGTGGCCCCGTCGGTGGTTCTAAGCCTGGTATCCAATTTGGCTACAACTCACCCGCTGTTGCGCACAGCACTCCTCAGTCTACCGCGGCTCCTATCCCCATCCCTGGAGCTCATCAGAGGGTGCCCTCTCCTGCGCACTCTCCCTCGCCTATTCCTCAGCCTTCTGCTAGCGGTGGCCGCCCTCCTTCTGGTATGGCTCACTCCGGCGCGATGACATTTGGCAGTCTCGGAAGCGATGGCGATGTAAGTTACCCATCACACCTGTATAGACCATGTCGTTGGTACCCTTGCTGACAACTACTCGCTGCAGCGCCACATGAGACAAGCCTCCACTCCTCAGTCCCAGGCCGCTCTGCCCGCCCAGCCTGGCTCTCATATTAGACGAGAATCGGGCGTCTCTCAGCACAGCGATGTGAGCGGGCCTGTTGGTCCTAACCAGGGCCCAAACCGTCAAGGGTTCCAGCCTCAGGGCGGCCGAGGCCGTGGCTTCAACCCGCAGCACCCTCCTTACAATGCCAACATGGGTTTCCCTCCTGGCCAGCAATACGGCAACGGCCGCGGACGTGGTGCCATGCCCCCTTCCTTCCATCCCGGACGTACGATGCCTTACCCGAACTCGCCTCAGCCGACCCGAAGCCCGGCTCTGGCCCAGTCCCAGCCAGGAACCCCGAACATGGCTCCGGCTCAAATGCACCCGATGCCTATGGCCACTCCGCCTCAGCACTATTACCCGCCACCCAATATGGCGCCCCAACAAGTACAGCACCCCTCCTCCTTTCCAGATATTT